TTAAGATGAGTTGAAGTCCACTCATCTTAAAGTGGCCAAGTTTGGACAACACTGCCCTAAATGGACGTATGCAGATTATTAGTTTTCCGTCCTCCTCGACCTACAGAATTTGAAAATGAGTGAAATTGTATAAATTACAATTGTCCACTCAATAATCCTCTTTCGATTCAACCAAGCAGCCATCATAATCACCTGATTACAATAAAAAATATATATTCTTGCAATTCTGTTCTGTATGGATGTGCCAAAACACTTTCAAATCAAAACACAAAAACTGCAAATGTGCTATTTTGGTCTGACCTCAGAATGAAATGTGGTAATTTGAAACTTCCTCTTTGCCACAAGATATGAGTGTCACAAAATGAAGTGGAATGACAGCAGTGCTGGTTGGCCACCTAGTTTGCAGAAAAATTGGCCAACGGGATGACAGTTGTTTTAAAAAAAGCCTTGAGGGTGCTCTCATTGTTTCTGGTGGCTAAAACTGTTGACAAGTTTTAAGTTCCAATGGAAAGCAGCCAACAGCATGGTTCAAGTGTGGCTGTTCTGCTTTGAACTTGAAACAAAGCATTTTAACTTTTTAAACTGAAAACAAAAAAAATTCCATTTTGTGCGTGCCCAAACACCAACTTCAAAAGCCTTTGAAAGTGGAAAGGAACAGGAGTGGTAGATGATTAATGTAAAACAGAACTGATCGGGATCTGGAATGGCAAAAGATTAGGTGGGGAGGCTAGGACCGTAGAGATGAGAACAGAAAACATTCAGACAAGGCTGGATGGGGAAAGTAGAGGGGGGAAAAAGCAAGTGGCATCTTGTGGGCAAGGCCAAAAAATGGCAGGTGGGGCAGCAGGGGGCAGCTTCTTCAGGAAAGGCCACCAACTTGGAAAATTTCAATCTGCTTCAGAAAGGTTATTCTGAATGCAATGAGCGGGATAGATGAGGCTCAACTAGCTTAACGTTCCTTGATTCAAAACTGGCCATAGCAAGATTTTCTCTGTATTAAGTCATGCTGGCTGTTGCACATAACACTTTATTCTTCCCTCTGCAGAACTCACTTCACCATCACATCTGGGGCATCCTCCCTCTTTTGTGGGCTGCATGAAGAATTTGGTGATCAACCAAAACCAAATCGACATCAGGCAAGCTGGGACAACCAGGGGCTCAGTGGGGCTCAGAGGGTGCCCAACTGTGTAAACAAGTTTCTAAGTGTGTAAAATCAGAACCACAGAGAGGTTCACCATCCTCCAGGAAGCCAGTGGACTTCATGAGGCATCTCCTTGCCACTGAAAACACCATGTTCAGTATCAACAGTGTATATATGGCAGAGGAAGGGGTGTAGTGTGGTTATCAGCTGTGTTAGCCAATTTGTAATATATTTGCACATTTCTTCCAGTATATTGGCAGTAGGGTATTTTGAATAGTGCACATGGTGTGCACTTTGTACAAGTATTTATAACAGGTGTTAGAAAGCTAAGGTGTTCTTTCACAAGCGAGATAAGTCACAGTGGTGCTTTAAGCAACTATTTCAAGCTGCCCAAGAACCAATTATTTAAGCGTATCTGTATATATATGTTTGATCACCACAGTTGTTCTAATCATTTTCCAGAGACTGTTCTCTTAATTTTTATATGGGGGAATGACAAAATGTCTGCAGGGGGAAGAAGCTGAGACATTACAAAGGCACATATATTCCATTTTCCAGCAGATAAAAATTACATCTGAAAAATAGTGATTTGTCTTTCCCAACTTCCCTAAACTTATCAAGGAATGTATTAGACATCACTTAATAACTAGGCTTATACATCACGTGCGTTATAATTAACATAGATTTGGGGTACTTGGTGGTTCAGCGTTGTGAAGACCTAGCCAATCTAATGTTCAGCCATAATGTGGTTTGCTTAATAGCATGACACATATACACAGGCTGGGCCTAGGACTTAAGTGTGTTTTGTGACTCCAGGCAAGATAGGAACGCTTCCCACATTAAGTGCTATTACGGCAGCCTGTATTTCAGCGACAGTATTTTTTTAAAGGAAAACATGGCTTCACTTAAGGTGGCATCCTCAGCTCCTTTTGGAAAAGAAAACAGTCTCTTCACTCTTACTCCACCATGTTCTTCAGTTCTAATATCCCAACTTCCCTTGCAATCAACTAACTTCATCTGCTCCTCAGTACCAGTCTATGGTTCACTTGTGCATTTAGAAACAGCCTTGTATGTTTATGTGTGTATATATATATATGTATATCTCATCACATTGGGTAAGATAGTTCTAAAAAGAATTTTATTACTTATCAGTATATTGGTTATTTTAATGCTGGGGTACATATTGAAAAATGGATTTTAACTCACCTTGAATTTTCTTTAAGCGAATTACTTCTTTGGGGGCTGAATAATGAAAGAATATTTCTGTATATCACTGCTACATACTTCCAATAAAATTTTCTGATCTAGACTTTGTAAAATTTGTACGGAGTGGCTTTAATGCAGGAGATGGGGAATATACGTGAGTAAATGCACTTACAGTGGGGCAAAAAAGTATTTAGTCAGCCACCAATTGTGCAAGTTCTCCCACTTAAAAAGATGAGTGAGGCCTGTAATTTTCAGCATAGGTATACCTCAACTACTGCAGGATTTGAGTCCCTGGCAGCGTAGTGTGTTACTGATGGTAGCCTTTGTTACTTTGGTCCCAATCAGACAATGTGATTTTCTGGATTTTTTTCCACTGCAGGATTTGAGTCCCTGGCAGCGTAGTGTGTTACTGATGGTAGCCTTTGTTACTTTGGTCCCAATCAGACAATGTGATTTTCTGGATTTTTTTCCACTGCAGGATTTGAGTCCCTGGCAGCGTAGTGTGTTACTGATGGTAGCCTTTGTTACTTTGGTCCCAATCAGACAATGTGATTTTCTGGATTTTTTTCCACTGCAGGATTTGAGTCCCTGGCAGCGTAGTGTGTTACTGATGGTAGCCTTTGTTACTTTGGTCCCAATCAGACAATGTGATTTTCTGGATTTTTTTCCACTGCAGGATTTGAGTCCCTGGCAGCGTAGTGTGTTACTGATGGTAGCCTTTGTTACTTTGGTCCCAATCAGACAATGTGATTTTCTGGATTTTTTTCCACTGCAGGATTTGAGTCCCTGGCAGCGTAGTGTGTTACTGATGGTAGCCTTTGTTACTTTGGTCCCAATCAGACAATGTGATTTTCTGGATTTTTTTCCCCCTTTTGTGTCTCATAGTTGAGGTATACCTATGATGAAAATTACAGGCCTCTCTCATCTTTTTAAGTGGGAGAACTTGCACAATTGGTGGCTGACTAAATACTTTTTTGCCCCACTGTATAGGATACCACAGAAGGGAACATCAGTCTTCCCTCTCTCACACAGTGTGAACCACATGCTTACAACCAACTGAATTGTTTGTAAGGGTTCAAATCTAACTTCCCCCAAATATCAATAATCTTGCATTATTAGCCAATTTACAAGCCATAACATAAATGGCATAAAGCTGTGTTTCTCAGCCTTGAGAACTTTCAGATGTGGGGACTTCAACTCCCAGAATTCCCGAACTAGCCATGCTGGCTGGGGAATTCTGGGAGTTGAAGTCCACGCATCTTAAAGTTCTCAAGGCTGAGAAATACTGGCATAGAGGTTAAGCCAGCTGGAAGTGTTTGGATTTGTTGTTCATGTATACATACAGAATTCTGCTCAAAAACCAGCAAGCCCCACATTCCCCAACACGGAGGGAGAGGAGAAAAACAGGCTCTCAGGAACCCCTCAAGTATTTAATGAAGTCAAATATTTCACCAGATATAGACACAACCTGGGTACAATTAGCTAAATATAAAATATATATAAACTAACAGATGTGGGCTAACCCTTCAAACTTAAGAGCTACAGTTTTACTTGATGCAAGATTTCATTTAGTCCAATCAAATCTTTCCTGGGGACAAGTGCATTTTAAGGCTGAACAGCTGCCTGTGCTATAGCAAGAAGTGGGGGGAAAGTTATCTCCAGAAAGAATGTGGGAGCGAGATCCTTTACTTGTAGATTTGATACATGGAGTCAGCTAGTGATTCTACTTAGTTAATATCTAGGAGTATCGTTCAGACACAACTAAGAAACCTAATCTAAACTCATGTCTTCCTCTTCATCCTTCTTCTCCTTTGCATCTCCTTCCTTTTGGTCGGATTTGACATTATTCTGCATGGCTTTTGCAAATGCCTCCACATCTAGAAACAAGACACATCAAATTGGTAATTTGCAACAGAAAGTATGGAAGACAGCAGGCTGGCTGCCTCGTGCACATTTGAAGTGATTTGTGCATAATTTCAACACACAACCTGCAACAGCGACGGAAGGCTTGCAACAGGATAGCTGCAATTTGGAAAGTCCATTTTAACTGCTATTCCAAATCATAAACCCTTTGCATAAATATGCTTGCCAAACTTTCTCTTCTAAGTCATTTTCCAAGAACCAGGGTATCACACTTTCCATTTCAGTATGTTTCAAATTGCTATGACAAAGCTAAATACGCTGAACTGCCAAACAAAAATTACACTCTTTATCCACTGGCCTAAAGTCATCGTAATTTCCCTTCTTTCCCAAGAAGATATTCAATAGCCCAATGCTCTGTGAGAGCTACTTCAAGCCTTCAAAAAGACCTACTTTAGTTCAGTAGATTCCCGTGTTTCTGTTACGTAAGTACAAGAGGCTTTGCTTCTCTTTAATGTTCTCACCACATCAGCATCATACAGAGATGCACGTAAGTAATCAACTACAGAATGAAGTGCCATTCAATATTTGAGCAAAGTAATAGAGATTTTATTCATAATTATTTATACCTTAGATTTATACGGGCTCCTCCACTCAGCACAGGTTCTTGGTGGCCTACAATTAAAACTAATTCTAAACAAAATAAAACAAAGAGAAGAAATGGGGGAAGCAACGTGTCATAGCCAGGCAAGTTACACGTCATTGGGCATGACATCTATCTATGCCAGAACTTAGGGGAACAATCAAATTTAAAAGATAACTAAAAATTTGTAGTGCCAGGATGGTCCAAAACTGGGGTATATTTTTTCCAAGATGAGGCAGCACCCTTGTAGCCTTCTTTGTTGAGACACAAAAGCCCTCCTTAGCTATTCCATAGTAAGGACTCACCTAATTCTCTAGGGTCATCTATACCACAGAAAACTGCAAAAGAAAATCTTCATGGGTACAATTTCTGGACAGTAGCTTTCATATGAGCACAACTCTGCACTGAAGCTGATTTTTTGCTCTTGTGGGAGCTGGTATATATATAGTCATCCACCTGCAGTCCATCTGTGGATATCCACTGGATAAACATTAGCATTCTGCTGATGCTGTTTGTAAAACTTACCATGAGCACTCTTTTTTTACTGAATGATTACAGCAGTTTCTTAATTGTGGCAACTTTAAGACATGTGGACTTCAACTCCCAGAATTCCACATGCCAGCATGCTAACTGGAAAATTCTGGGAATTGAAGTCTGCAGATCTTAAAGTTGCGATGGTTGAGAAATGCTGGATTAGAGTGACCCAAGATGTCCTCCAGAAAAAACTACGGAAAGTAGAATTCAAACCTCACAAACCTCAGCATTAGGAAGATTTCCATTAATTATTAAGCAGCTCCCAATTAGCTGTCCAAATGAACTTACCACCTTTATTGGCTGCGTCTATGGCCTCAGCTGGTAAGCCAAATTGGCTCATCAGGGGTCCCAGTTGCCCAGAAGCCAAGGCAGCACTGAACATGCTCAGCGCCTGCAAAATGAAAAAAGACCAAACCTTAGAACCATTCATCTAGGTTATAGAAGCATCACATTCTAGGAAAATCAAGCTTGTTATATCTTTCAGATAGACAGGCTATAGCTGATTCTGTTCCAAGAAGATTTAGTTTAATGACAGGAGAAATCAACAATCTAGTTCCCACTGGTTACAGGACCACAAATGTGGCTGAGGGCTCCTTCTCACATACAAGCCTGATAAAATCCAACCAAGGTAATCTTTTATCAATTACATTTTTCTTTCTATCCTACCAATTTATGCTCTCATTTCAAAACACCACCTCTGCCCTGTAATTATCAATTAAAACTAAAGAAATTAGCTAGTGCCACCAGCTTTGTTGTAAATCATCAAAACTACATGGGTGGTAGTATAACAACTATAATTCTTAACTGAATTATCAGTAGTCCTGTGGACTCATTGCTAAGCAGTGCTGGGTAAGCCATGGTAAAACAGAAACGAGTAAGCAACACAGCCAGAAAACAGTACAAACTAACAAAAGCTTCAGACAGACAGAACACCAGCAAAGTTGTATGGGATAAAAAAAGCATGGGAATTTCTGAATGAAGTGTCTCTCACCCCCACATTACCACTTTATAGCCTGACCCCGTAGGCCGTGCTTCAACCAGTTCTGTTCATGCAGGCTAACTCAAGGGCTTCCTGTCCAACTGGGCATCAAGTTCTGTTCTCTTACTGGTATTAGAATGGTTACCTGATGAAACTGTGGAGAGGTGAGCGTGTTCTGAATCTCCTCCGCTGTTTGTGGCAGAGATTCCCCTGAAGGGAGGTAAGGCAGCAAGCGCTCTTGAACTTCTGTGTTTGCCAGAATAGGTGCCATTATTTCTGGAGTAAGCACACTGGACAGGTCAACTGTGAAAGAATGCAATTAAGGTTGTCTCTTGAGGTAGAAGTATAAGGAATTAGCAAAGATGCTACAGATGAGCACCGATTCCAAGAGTAACTTGGGAATCCCTCCCACCCCCACCCCCATAACTATAAAATTCATTACTCCCATATCCTAAACGTGTTAATTTTCTGACAGGGAGATACTGCTTTACGGAGTACCAAAATCAGTCACAAAAACATGCTGAGTCCAACCCATCCAGCAGAATGATACCCTTTCTCTCTCACATACATACATACATACATGGCAAAAGGGCCGATTACATCCTTCTACATTAAAACAGCTCTTATCAAAGCGAGTCTAGGGAGAAAAGGGTTGAAGACAGGCAAACTGCTCTCTTTTATATGTTTTGGACTCCAGCACCAACAGCTGCCTCATACTAGTTCATGCTACTGTGACTGAAGTCTAGGACCTCAGATTATCTAACTCCAGGCTGGAGCAATAAAGATTGTGAGATGTTAGGATGGAAGCTCAAGGAAAGATGCACCTTCAGACGGGCATACCAAAGTTGCAACACTCCCTCTTTTACCTTGCTGTCCTCCTGTTCCAGCTGGTACATTCATAGTAGCTAAGATGGTCTGAAGATCACTCAGTTGGATGGGTTGTGTAGGGCTTGTTGCTGTGCTGGTCCCATTTCCTGAGCTTGGGGCAGGACTAGGACTGGTGGCAGTGGCAGCTGCAGGAGCAGCAGGAGCAGGCGTTACCCGTGTGGAGGAAGTACTGGAGGATGGTGTCACAGCTGCTGACTGGCTGCGAGAACTGAAAGGCGAGATTTGGGAAAAATTCCTGCAACTGTATTTCTCAGCTAAAGAAGAGAGGGGGTTAGGAAGTGAAAACCCCAAAGACCTTCTAATTTAGACCACCAACTAGTCTTCTGTCACCAACAATAATCAAAGTTATAAATTCATTTGACAACTCCTTATGACTCTTCTTCTCCCTTTCAAACCCTAACTTTTAAAAGGCAATAGGTTATTCCATCTTACAGCCCATAACATCAGAAGGACAATTTTGGAGAAATGTGACACCAATTTCTGCTCCTACAGATGAGAGCTACCAGTTTAGGTCACATTTTAAAAACATGGGAAGTGGAGAAATAGCCTCCTTTCTTGCAAAACACATCCTGACAAACAAAGCATTCTGCACCCAAATCCTGTTAGAGTTTGGAAGCAAGTCCTGAGTGGTCCACAGACAAGATGAGGACAACATTTAGCATACCCTTTCCCCTGGAAAATGTTAGGTCACTTTCAGTGTCTGTACCTCTAATGCCCACCTGCAATAAGGGAATGACGCTGGTCTCTATAGTTAACACAAGAATTACTGAAATAAGTAAGAAACACTAGTATGTCTTCCAAAAACAAGCATAATTCTTTAGCAGAAGCTAACATGATGAGCTGTAGAAGTGCTACAGACGGCTGACAGCTTTCTGAATTGTTATAACCACTCTTAGACCTCCACTGACTCCTCTTACATGACCCTTCCCATCTCAGCCCTGTAGGTGCCCACTTATTCAGATTACACAACTGCTCTAACATCCAGATGCCACAACTACAGATGTGGCTCATCTAGCCCAGATAAAAGGAGAGCTGATTTTGTGGCATACAATTGTCTACTGTGCAGCTAAGAGGCCTTAAAACGGCATATAACAAAATTAACTTCTATCCCTACATTAATATTTAAAAGACCATTTAAATGATAAGTGAAACTTCTTCTTACCTTGAAGAAGAGCTGCTAGTTGGAGGCCCCCCACTGCCCAACAGGCTAGCCAGACCAGGACCTGTCAGAGCACCAAGTCCACCTATCAGCAAAATTAACAGTAAGAATAAAAAAGAGGATCTGCCATGGATATTTCTTAGAAAAAGGTTCTTATTCAAACATGTACTCTTATTCTTATTCAAAACCTAATTTATTCTATACGTCTCTCAAGAGAGGCCCAACCGTGCATTCTCACATCATAAAATTGTATCGGTGAGGGGTCCTCTTGGTCTTTCTGCAAACTCTCACTAGGTATTTATCCAAATGATAATTTCTTGCCTTCACCATCAATGTATCATCTATCAAGTCAGTCCTGAATCAGATAGAAGTTCTAGACTGTACATTCAGAACCACAGGTGATGGAGATCACCTGCAGTACTTCAGGGCAAAGGCTTACAATTGTTACCATCTTCAGAAAACTATGTCCTACTGCAGATCCCTGAACAGCAGTAAATAGAAAGGAAGCACAATGAGCGTATAACCAATTATTCCACTAAAGGAATCTTTCACTTCATTAACACTCTTAGCACCAAATTCAGGGCCCTCTACCAGTTAATAATGGAGATAAATCAACAGGGATTGTTACTCCTTCCTAAAGCATCTCTATGTATACCTCCCCCAAAGATTCAAATGATCCAGACATGTTTACTGGCTAGCCATTAGGACCTCAGGCCACACAAAGGCATGCAATTGCAGGCAGGCAGGCAGGCAGGCAGGCAGGCAGGCAGGCAGGCAGGTTTTGTCTTGTTCTATTAGTTCTGACTAACATGAAAAGTTTTGGAAGCACTGTTCCTAGATCCCCCATATATTGCTTAAGGAAAACAATAGAGCAATTCTACCTGCAATCATGCAAGAGGAGTTTTGCATCAACTCAGGGGCTGGCAAAGGGTCTTGCCGGTTCACCAGAAGAAAACAAAACTGTTTAAAAGTATTACGCTCCTGCATCCAATACCAACATTCACAAATCAGGGCAATCTTGTCTAAGCGTAGCCTTATCAGTGGCATAGTACTTACTTACTAAAGCTAAAAGCTAAGGCAAGGTTTAAGTCAAATAAATACTATTTTGACATAGATGTAATGAAAGCATTTTACCAAGTCCTCCTAAGCCTGTTGGTCCAATCAGCTGCATGAGCTGGTTATGACTCATGTTTCCCAGAAGACTTTGCAAGCCACCCTCACCTAAAAAGAAATGCAAGAGACAAAATGTTTGTAACTAACTAAATACCAGGCAATTCAAACTGTTTAACACGAGGAAAGCCTCTGTGCTACATTTAACAGATATATACAAAAAAGCTTTTCCACTTTCCTTTCAGAATATTCTTCCACAATCCATCTGCAAGATGACGTGCTTCTGTATGAACCTGCCTTTTCTTCAAGCTACATGGCAACTGCACATTTTAGGCTGCCTAATCTTCTAAAAGTGGCTATATTTGAAATACAGTTGCATTTACTGCTGTTATTAAAGCTCAGGTTTTTATTATTTTATACATGAATTTGATGTTAAACTTTTAGCTAGCATCATCCAAGATTTTATACTGGGTTTAAAACAAAATCCTCAAAGTACCAGAAGTAAATGACTAAGCTTGTGCCAAAAGAGATTCTCAGAAAAGGTCCATACCTCCAAGGGCGGAAAGTTCATGGCCCCCACTTCCACTACCCCCCAGAGCTCCAGGCATTGGGGGGTTATTGAGGTACTCATTCACTTTACGACAGTGCTCTTCGTCTTTCTCTGTCTTAGGTTCCTGGAAAGGAAAAAAAAACCCTTTACTTCCTCAGAATAGATAGGCTATTCTTAACCTCAGCTTTCTTAATATTCAGAACACCATAATTTAGTACAGGTAGTCCCCAGTTTAACGAGTTCTGTTCCCAAGGTCTGTCCTTAAGTCGAATTTGTACATAAGCTGGAATAGTATTATTGTATAATACTGTATAAGTAGTATTGTGTAATGAACTCAAATCACTGTGTAATTAACTCAAATTTTGCTACAATAGGCTCCATTCTTAACTACAGGTTATGTGTAAACCCGGCATTCTTAACCCGGGGACTACCTATAGGGAATTGTAAGACTTTGTTTTTAGTCAAACAAAATTTTAAAGCAAAAAAAAAAATCAGTAAATTTTGAATGAAGATTTCAGGCAAAAGACAGGGAGCTATATATATATTTGAATGTTACTTTGGGCAGAAAGCATATATAATTTTGTGAGTGATTACTTTCAGAATTTATCATTGGGGCCAAAGAAACTTTGAAGAAAAATGTTTGAACCTTTTCTTAAATGATTTATATTCAAATGGTTCAATGTCATAAAACACACCAATGCTGAGAACTAGAGCAGTATATGAAATGCTAACCTAAAGACTAACAGAGACATACAGTACTAATAAGGCAGATATAAGCTGACCCTTCCCTATCAATTTTTTCATGCTTATTCTCACTCAATCTTCTCTAGATGCACTGGCACTCTGGTCATATTAACTATACAGCATCAAACTAAAATTTCTGGAGAAATGCAGGACATTGAGACTGAGGCACTCACAAACCTGCATCCAGAAGAAAAGTCTCTTGGATCCAGCCTTGAACTTCAACACATACACACGGCCAGTAGTACACTGGGGCACCCTTTTAAATTCACAGTCATCAGGAAATATAATTAAGTCCTAAAAAGCAAAGGAAGGACAAAAATACTTAAATATCAATCAATGCTGGTCAATAACTAACTTCTCAATCTACAACTGAAAGCAGGGAAATGGAAAACTTCATGTTCCAATGCTCCCTGAAAGGTCCCATTCTAGCCATCTGGGGGAATGGTGCAGCTCTTTCTGGAAACCAATCTTCTGGAACAAATGACCCGCCATTTCCATACATTGTCCAACCCTGAAATTTGGGGGCTAGATGATGGCTGGAAAACCACACACCAATTCCCATTCTTGATTTTTTTCATTTCCATAAAGAGACAAACTATCACTGGAACAGCTGGCTCAGTGTATTCCGTAAGAAAAAAACAGGACATTCCAGGGAAAAGTAGAAAACATAATTTTGCACAGTTAGAATTACACATATATCAGCATGGTTTTCTAGAAGGAGCTGCAGAAACTAGATGTGAATTAAAAGTAAATACATGCTCCCCTGCAGAAAGCGGTAACTCTACAGCAAGATTCATACATTCCACATTTATTCAATTTTTTGCCAAAACGGGAGGAGAGAAAAGGGGGCCAAACCATGTTGAACTCAGACCATGAAACTCAGTTTCTTATAAATAAACATGCATATGAGCATACCACTTTTAGCTTTCAATGGGCAAACAAGCTTTAAATCTATGTAAGTACAATCTAAGACTGGACTATTTGACTTACATCTTCCACGTTCCCAGATGTCCTGTCTTTCCAACAGAAGTGAATGAGGGAATCATCCGTTTGCTGTATGTAGACAAGGCCTTTCCTCTTATCTGGAGTAACAGTGCTGCCCTTCAAAGACATCTTTCCTGCACGGAACTCTACTAGGTATTTGCTCGATGAGCCCCGGGAGCCTGGCACCAAGCTCGGGAATAAAGCACCAGAAGACATCCTGGAAAGAAACAAGATTCATCATGAGCACTTCTCTTTCAGTCATGGCAATCAAGTTTCCAGCAGAGGCAGTACATTTATAGAACTCAATATTGACAGCTGCACAGCACCAAATCTGACCCCTAAATGGATGATATGATGCTCTTGTTCTTAAGCAATTTCCCAGTTAGGCTGCACCAATCACAATATTACTTTTACCTGAATTTGGGCACTTTTTGCAAAAATAGGAACAATAAGGAAGTGCTGAAGCAGCTACAGTATGCATGAATGTTCATTCATTCTTGCATGCCTGAGAAACAGGTTTCCTTTTTTTTTTTCTTTATAACTAGTAACCAGCCTCTTCACTTTCAACTCTAGCACCAATCCTTCAATGCAGAAAAATAATGTAGATAAACAATAGCTAACAGGAACCTCCAGAGTCAGGTGCTATTTCAGACATATTTGATGCAGATTTAATGAATGAAAGAATTACAAGCCATTATTAAAACAGACCAACTGCCAAATGAAACAGCACAAAACAAATCACAGCACAAAGGCTCAACAACGTACTGTAACCAGATTTCTGAGAACATTACTTATGGTTTATTTTGGAAAACAGAAACAAAGGTAAGGAGTTGAACTATCTGAGAAAAGAGTATTGAAACCACTGAGAGAATGACTGTCTGCTATCAGAGTGCCACTCACCTACCTGTGCAAAAAAAAGTGAGGAAAAAGAGTATTTGCTTTTTTAAAAAAGTATGTGAGTTATATCCAAACTTAAAACATTTTTTAAAAATCTCTACATATTTCAATAAAATATTGGCAACACTTTAATAACTACATAGGAGGTCGCAGCAAAATAAAAATGCTATTGCTAAGAGTATATTTCTTTAAGGAAGATCAACTCACAGTGAATTCATGGATATGTCCATTTAGTTTTCTTGGCAGCCTGTGATTTGCCATTTCCTTTTTTCTGGAAAGTTTTTTGCCTTCCCATACATGAATGAAGGAATCAGTATCCCATACAAAAGGCACATGCCTCTTGCCTTCATGGCTTGTTTTTGAAGCCTTCATCTTATTGCTACATCAAGTTCTCAAATGATATCTATCCATGCTCTCCTCTTCCTACTACATTCCTGAGTCATCTGGGTGCCTTAGGCCATGACATAAGCGCTTTTTACAATAACAACACTTTGGTGTATATCAAATTATCTTTGGGTAAGATTATCAGAGATTAGCAGAAGATGACATGGCAGAATAATAAAATTTGTCAAATAAATCAGTTTTCCAATTCCTCCTCTATAAGCTTCATACTATTCAAGATAGGCCTATTTAAAGAATATACCCAGTCTACTACTAATAGTCAGCTGAGTGTTACAAATTTGCTTTGTTCACAATGTTTCTAATTTTTGAAGAGATAAAGTAAGGATATTCATTTTGGTTCCTTTAAAATATACAAAATGTACACCCCTCTATTACTTATATATTAGGTGAAAACAGCACGTAACAATTTCAATAATAAAGTCTCCTCTGAATAGCAGTCTAGCTAGCAAAGGAAAGCTAGAAAATATATAAAAAATTAAAATGCAATTTTATACATTAGGCTATAATGCAAGGCCAACTATGTCATATGGATTTGACTTTATCAGAACAGTTGGAACAAAAATTTGGGACACATTCAGCATCAAGACTAAAATGCAGCTATTATAATTCCTGAGAGGCTACAGTACCAGTTGCAATAAAATGCATAAATGTTCGCATAAGAATATTCTTTGTCTTTAGTTCCAGATAATGATGATGATGTACCATCATTCCTCATACAAATGAGTCTACCGATATATAACCAAATAAATCTGTGAAGTTACAACTGACTCAATGTAACTGGTCCATTTCTTGTCAGTTTTTACTGTTTGACCATGGATAAGTATATTTAATTTTATGGCAGCACAGTGGCATATGTGCTACATTGAGCTCAAATGTCACGTCTGCTATAGGTATTGTAGCCACTATGCACAAGTTTACCCCATCTACAACTTGGGGAAAATTCTAGTAACCCAGTTAACCAAATTACTCTAAGAACTTTAATTAACTGGCCCAGAAAACAGGAAACTGTGAGTCTTAATCCTGCCTTAGGCATGAAAACCAGCTGGGTCACTCTCTCAGCCCAACCCACTACACAGGATTGTTGTTGTCAGGGAAATAGGAGGCAAGAGTATTGGGTTTGTTCACCGCCTTGAGCTGACACGTGTGTGTGTGTGTGTGTATGAGTGGGATAAAGAATAATTACAACCCCGTATTTTAAATATTTCAAGAACTCCCTATAACATGCATATTGGTCTTAGTCTTATCACCTTGAGAGACTTAACTGAAAGAAAAAAAATCCAGCAAATAAGTATACTGGGATAGGGGGCGGCTTTCGAAAGTAAAACAGATAGTCCAGAAACAACACAGAAGCAATTAAAATAAATTCAGATATACAGCCAACAAGGTGGCAAGAGCCAATTGTGCCTTTCTCAATCTCCACGCTCCCTCAAATCACAGACCTCGACAGGCTCGAGAGAACAAAAGGCTTTGCAAAAGCAAGCAAGAAATGATGCCCAGGTCAGGGACAGCCCCATGAGGACGAATCCTGGCCTCGTTTGGGCCCTGTGGAAAAGGGCAGGTCTGGCTGCCACCCTAAGCATGAGCCTCCCCGCTGCAGGCCCCCCTATCTTCAGCTGCACACTAAGGGACAACTCCCTGCAAGGAGAAAGTTAGCAAGGCAAGGAACTTCTAGCTCCAGCCTCTTTAGACGATCCCTCCCATTCTTGCTTCCACCCGGGACCTTTTTCAGCCCAACCTTTATAAAACCGCCCCTTTGAGCTTCACCTGGGCGCACCCACCCCCGCACGTCCCCCACCTGGCACCCCTCCGGGGGGGGGGGTTTCGGAATACCGGTC